AGCTCAGCTCAGTTCAGTTCAGCTCAGCTCAGTTCAGTTCAGTTCAGTTCAGTTCAGCTCAGTTAAGTTCAGTTCAGCTCCTAATTTCCTTCTCTTATAAAATATTCATTTCAGTTCAGTTCAGTTCAGCTCAGCTCAGTTTAGTTCAGTTCAGTTGAGTTCAGTCAATGAGAACAGGCCCTTAGTGTGATCGCAGCCGGATCATCCGGCTCAACTCGTGACCAACTGCTCACGTTTGTTAAGGCTAACTCCTCGGATGAACTTAACAAACTATGTGCAGAGCTTGTATCACTCGTCTTAGCTGATGGCAGCGTCGTTGGTGGGACTACGTTGAGCTATGATAATGGAGTTTGGGTTGATCAAAAACTTCCTCTTAACCCCTCTTTCAAACAACTACTTGATCATGTTTACAAAGCGACTTCTAATCAAGTGGATTTTTGCAACAAAGTATGTTACTTCTACCACTTTACCAATTTTTTTTTTCTTTTTGTTTGTTATAAAATTGATTTTTATGCTTAATTTTGATAAAGAATATTATTCAAATATCTATATATAAATTGTTATAGTGAACTTTTTTTTAAAAAATGGACCCGTATGATGAGAAAGAGGTATAGAGAAATCGAATCATATGCTTGGAAGACTACCTATTATAGTCCAGAATTTACGAGAAAATACCTATTAAAAAAAATGTTGTAATAGACTACCTAATTTTTGAAAAATGTTATAATTTACTACCTTACGCTGGATTATGAAGGAGTATGACCAAAATTCTCCGGCGTTGACTTGGTCACGTGACACTTAATGACCCTTTTCTTTCGCAAATTTTCTCACAATTTTCCCACGTGATGGTCACTAAAGTGTCACGTGACTAAGTCAACGCCGAAAAATTTTAGTCAAACTTCACAATCCGGCGTAAGTTAGTAAATTACAACATTTTTCAAAAGTTAGGTAGTCAATTACAACATCTTTTTTAATAGGTAGTTTCTCGCAAATTCTGGACTATAATAGGTAGTTTTTCACAAAATTTTCTATTATTTACACTACTATTGGACCCATATCATGGACCAACCAAACTGGATTGGCTATTTTCTTATCCGCAACACTAGACTTTCCACACTTTCGCTTCATTCGATTATGATTCGACGTGAAAGGTACTCATCACCGGGTTTGGTTTTGGGGAGACACAAATGGGTGTCTACAATTGGAAGAAGATTTTAGTCTTGCAAGTTGTGGAAAAAAAATTAAAATTATTACTATCTTGAAAGAGAAAAGGGAAAAAATAAAAGGGGGAAAAGGGTTATGAAATTAGGGTTCAATAATGGGGGAAAGGGGAAAAAATGCAAATCGAGGGAAAAGAGGGAAAGGTGAAAAAAGGTCATTTAAGTGGTCACGTGCTATGCGTGTGACTTTTTTTGGACGGAAAAATTTATTTAACGCCAGAGTTTGGTCAAAGGACCCTCCTCACAACCCAATCCTGATAAAAGGACCTTTTGTACCACCTCTTTCATAAAAGGATCTTCCTCGCAAATTTTTCTTTTTTTTTTCATCAAAGTTTGCACAGATGCAAAACGTAGGTCCCCTACATTCCGACTGGGTATGTTTCCTACTGCAATAGATACATCTTACTCAAGGTATCACTTGAAAGATTTTAACAAGTGAATTTTGTCATGTGTAGCTGTATACCTCATGTACTGGTTTTTGAAGTCTGGCAAAATCTGGTGTATCCCTGCAAGGGTGATGCCTGGAGTAACTTCGTAAAATAATAAAATTAAAATTTTGATTAAGTGAACAGAATTGTTAACTACTTCCTCTGTTCTTTTTTACTTTAAAAGTTTATTTTATCACGCTTGCCAATGAAAAACTTTAACGATTAATAACTTTACTTCTCAATAAGTAAAAATTATAAAAGTTTCATATTATGATAGTACTGTTGAGTAATTAGGTTTTGATGATTGTAATTAAACTAATGATGATTATCTATCTAACGTGTTTGTTTAGTTGTGCATATAAAGAACAAGTTATGCTTGGAACAGGGTACAAGGAACCTGAATAATGACAAGTATATATGTAAGGAACTTGAGTAATATATAATAAGCAATAGAGGAACAAGAACAATGATAACTGTTATGGTTGATAAGCATGATGATGGACAAGGAACCATGAAGGTAACTATGTAAATATGTGTTTGCATATGTTAGCTTCATAAGGTAAGTATCCTATGCATATATAGGTCATGTATGTGTAGGAGTCTTTTAATTTAGTTTAGTTTTCTTTATTGTTTTTATAAATGAAAAAACTAACCTTCTACTTTACTTTGTTATTCTCAGAAGTTTGCTCAGTTTGTCATCATCAAAAAGGGGCAACTTGTTGACCCTTATGAGATTTTGATGATGATAGTTATGATTGAGCGAACTTTCATTTAATAAGGATTTTCTAGTGTTTTGATGTTTGCAGGTTTAGTAAACTATGAGAGTTGAAGAAGGAACTGAAACAGAGGAACTTTAGAAGATCCATGAGGATACAAGTAAAGTTAGAAGAAGATCGAGTTCCAGAATTGGAACTTCAAGAAGTTTCTTAACAGGAACTTCGAAACGGGTTGTAACGACCTGGTTCCGGTGTAATGCTGGGGCAAACCCTAAGATCCAGAATATATCAAGACTATAGGATTCCAGAACAAGAGTTTCAGAGAAGCAACGTGAAGACAGAGAAATAAAAGTATATTGCTCTAGGATTCATGTAAGTATGTTGGACATAAAAGTTGATCTGGAACAAGTCTATATAGAACCAAGGTGAACTCCAAACAGTCAATGAAATTAGAGTGACTGACTTGTCAGGAACTCAGAGACTGTCAGAGTTCAGGAACCTAATAGGAACTTAAGTATGCACATCGTTAAAAGTCGGTTTTAATGATATATATATTTACCTTATACTTGCATATCTTTTAGGGATTTGGTTTTACTGAATAAAGATATTTATCTTCTAATAAATCCCTTTTGGAAAAAGATAAGTTTGTTTAAAAAGTATTTTTAAACAAAAAGATAAGATTGGAATAAAATATGATTTTGTGTTAAGTTTATCTTATTATTATTGACAGATTTTATTCTTAACAAAAAGCATATATTTTCGGAAAACTGATTTTTTAGAAAATATCTTTTAAACTTATCTTTTCAGAAAACTTATCTTTTTCAAGGTGAAATGAATAATTCGAGTGTACTATAAATATGCTCATCTGTTTTCATTCAAAGTTGAGGCTGACGAAGTGTAGTGGTCATGCTTAATGGTTTTATCCTTCACCACGAAGCTAAGTCAGTTCTCCTGGTCAAAGTTCCTATCAGGTTTTGGTTACAATACGTCCAGTGAGTTCCAGACAGATCTCGAGTGTCCAACATATTAGTTTTATCTCTTTATTCATATATATGTATTTAGAGTTATTCTTTGAGATCTTGTAATGGGAAAATGGGTTTGAGTGTTTTGGATTTAGGGGTGAGATTGTGAATTCTCTTAAATTCACGTTTGAGTGTATGAGTTTGAATTCTCTAAAATTCGAGTGGTAGTTAGTCACCCCGAGTGTGTCTTGGGTTGCACAGTGAGAAAAAGGAACCTGAGTATGGCTTAGGTCGAGAAAGGAACCTGAGTGTGTCTTGGGTCGAAAAAGGTGCCTGAGTGTGTCTTGGGTCTGATAATATAAGTTCTTATCAATTAGCAAGTGTCCGAGGAGGAACTTGCAAAGCAAAGGTCTGTGTAATAGGTTGTACTAGGAGAGTTGCCTATTATAGTGGAATTTGTTTATAAGTCCCAATAGGGCCGAGGTTTTACTTCCAGCTAGGCACTGGATGGTTTCCTCGTAAAACTTGCTGTGTTCTTTAAGTTCCTTTTATGTTTTGTTTTTAATAATTTCCGCATAAGTTTCACGATTGGAATCTACTACCATTTACCCCCCTCTCGTAGTAGTTCATCTAAAGTAACAAGTACTTATTGAGACGGATTAAAAAAGATCTCACATGAATATGTCTGTCCTTACCTATTATTCCCAAAAGACGGCCAAAGCAGGGGTGATGAATAGTATAAAAGTCAAAGCGAGTCAAATAAAAAGAACGGAGGAAGTAGGAAGTAACTTGCCCTGCGAATAGCTAGCGCAGCTCCGGTTATGTCAGCTCTTATAAGGAACCTGAATGGATAGTTAGCTACGAAGTTTAACACAGGCATTCTGCATTTCTTTTTCCCGTGTTAAAAAGTGTAAATTGCATAATAAATAGTCATAATTACTGTTTGTTTTGGCTTTTGGATACTATGAGTAAATGACTTTACTTTTGTTTTATGAAAGTGTTGAGAAAAATCACTTTGAATGCTTTTTGTATTTTATCTCAGGACCATATATTTTGCTTCGTACATATAAAAGTTTGCTCAGATGAAAAGTAGCGGTGATGCTTGAAGCTAAGAGAAGGTCCTTTTCCAGACTTGCATAGTTGCAAAACCAATTAAATAAAGAGCTTACGGAGCTGAGTAGGCCCTGTTCTTTTGAGCTTCTAGGTAGAGTAGAGCAGGGGTCAGCAGATTAAATTTCAGCAGAGTAGAGCAGATTTCAAGATAGCAAAGCAGAGCCGAGCTGAGCCGAGCCGAGCAGAGCAGAGCATATTTCTATTATTATTATTATTACTACTACTACTACTACTACTACTACTACTACTACTACCACTACCACCACCACCACCACCACCACTATTATTATTACTACCACCACCACCACCACCACCACCACCATAACTACTACTACCACTACCACCACTACCGCTACTACTACTACTACTACTACTATTATTCTTATTATTACTACAACGGTTTACTTATATTTATTTTACAAAAATTTTAAAAGAAAATGATTTAATGAGTAATAATGATTTTACTTATAATTTTGTCTTAATCATATATTTTTTACCCTAAAAATAATAATAATATACAAAGTACTATAGTACACTGGTTCGATGGTTAACTCAGAGTATGAGTACATATTAAATGGAGGAGAAACAGAGAGTGTGAGGAGAGAAATAGAGATATATAGCCTTACACCTTTTTTTTTGTTTTTTTTTTAATCAAAAGCATAATAAGGAGGAAGCTCATATTTATCAAATAACAAAATAATAAATAAAACAATATAAATGCCCAGTTATCATGACATTTTTGTAAATATATCAACAACAGTGGAACCCATATTCAATAAAAAATTATTGATTTATTTACAACTTTACTATAATTTGTTTATCATATTGATAAACTTGAATTTGCTCCATAATAACCGGTAAAGCGTGAAATCGAGTAAACAACAATTAGTCAATAGATAATTTCATGTGCATTTCACTTGCATTTGAGTTATTTTGTTGAATAATGAAATTCATGCTTTTTAGAACCAAAACACTATTCATAAGCCAAAATAGAAGAAATAGAATATATATATAGCAAGGATAAAACAGAATATAGAAATAGTCTTCCACTCTTTACTAAAAAAAAAAAGAGAAGAAGAAATAGTCTTCCCCTCTTAAGATCACTTCAGAGCAGTTTTAATCATTTAGATAGATCGTGAGATCAATTCATTCATACTCTCTTCAATCTTCCTTGTTTGTAATGTCCATGTCACATACTCTGTATATAACATACTATAAAAAAACAAAAAACCACGGCGATGCCAAACGATTGAACGAACCCTCATGTTAAATACAAGTCTTTGTTAAAAACTTCTTTAATTTCTATATTTTTTTTATTTAGCATATTGAAAAAAATTAATTATATATAGAAAGAGTAGTCTTCAATACTTCCATAAAGATATGTTTAAAGTGAATTTGAGGGAAATTGGTAGTCTCTTCCAAACCCTAATTAATTAGTATAATTAGAAAAATTGATTGTCTCTTCCAAACCAAACGGATCGATGGACCTTCAGCAATCAATCTCCGACATAACGGACGTCTCATTGATTCTAACCGGAGGTGTGTTGTCGTCCAATGAGGCGAAAAACAAAAACATGGTAATGTCACCTATCTCACTCCATGTAGTACTGAGTTTGATCGCTGCTGGTTCATCCGGCTCGACTCGTGATCAGCTTCTGTCGTTTCTCAAGTCCGATTCCCCCGATCATCTCAACAAGCTTTGTTCGGAACTCGTTTCACTCCTCTTCGCCTATGGCAGCGCCATTGGTGGGCCCAAGCTGAGCTATGCCAATGGAGTTTGGGTGGATCAAACACTTCCTCTTAAGCATACCTTTAAACAAGTTGCTGATCATCTTTATAAAGCTGATTCTAATCAAGTTGATTTTGTCAACAAAGTATGTCTTTCTTTACTTTTACTCTGTATTTCCTTTATTTATTTATTTTTATTTTTATTTGTTTACTGCACTTTTTATTATTCCGGAGAGTGTACATGTATTGTACATGCTACAAAATTAAAAGCTACTACAATATTTTGTTTAATAATGCTAAAAAGTTCTATGTTTTTTACTTGATGCTTTAATAAAAGTCTAAGCTTCTAGTTTGTGTCAAAAAAGTTCTATATTTTGGGAAGTCTTTTCTTGTGCATTTTTTCCATCAACCCCCTCCCCTATATCCTCCAACATTGTTATTATAGGTTTATGCCTTGATAATAGTATATAGGCTTAAAAACCTCATTCATATTGTTGTCAATATTGTCCAAAAGCTTGAGAGTGAAAGAGGGGAACATGTTCTATTTAGGTGTTTGTGAATAAATGAACAAAAAGAAGAAAAAATAAAGAGGTTGTTGTGCGACAGCGGAAGCAAAGGTCGAAAACAAACAAGAAAACAATAAAGAAATTCAATGCAAACAATAAGAACAACACCAAGAATTTACGTGGTTCACTATCGATGTGATAGCTACGTCCACGGGCACCGAGATCGAATGATTTCACTATAAACTGCAAAGATTACAAAGATGATTCTTGTATTTCTCAAGAACGGCTCTCACTCTGTCTCTCTTAACCCTAATACTGATATTAGGGAGGTTTTATATTAATCCCTAAAATAAAAGATACTTGGGCAAAAAGATAACATAAAAGATAACTTTAAATCGTAAAATCCGCGTCTCCGCATTTTTCCTTCTCCGCCCGGTCAGACCGGGCAAGGTCTGCCCGATCGGGCGCGAGAAGAAAACTCCATACGAATGCTTCAACGTATCCAACCCCCACCGCCCGGTCAGACCGGGCAAGGTCTGCCCGATCGGGCGAAGGCTCGCCCGGTCGGGCGAAGGCTCGCCCGGTCGGGCGCGAGAGCAGCTTCTTCAACGAATTTGCCAGGCACCTCTTCTTCTTCCGCCCGGTCAGACCGGGCAATGTCCGCCCGATCGGGCGGACAAAGCTACGAAGTACGAGTCACCTAATATACTTATCAACAATCTCCACCTTGACGAGAACTCGTAGTCAGCAAACGACCCCATCAAGACATAGTGAAAAAACATCTCAAGCCAAACCCGATGCAGGACTCATGCATAAGCCATACATCCCGATAAGTCTTCAACCAAGACCCATCACATACTCGTCTCCAAGTATAACAACTCATAATGCTCCACCTGCATCACAAGCCCCGGGCAAGCTCCACCTTAAGGCCAACACACCTACACCAGGAGCTCCCCAACTTCGCCCCTCAGGGCCTACTACATCACGTAGTAATCAATATTTAGCAAGTCTAAGCAATGTTTAAACTTGCTAAACGGAACAGGCTTAGTGAAGAAATCAGCCGGGTTGTCAGCAGTCCCAATCTTCTTCACCTTAATCCTCTTGTCAGTACGTAAGAAATGATACCTGACATCAATGTGCTTCGTCCGATCATGGTGTACTTGATCTTTAGCTAAGCAAATCGCACTTAGACTATCACAATACACTGTAGCAAAATCCTGTGCAATACCCAGTTCACCTACTAGGCCTTTGAGCCAAATAGACTCCTTAGCTGCAGAAGTTAGAGCCATATACTCAGCTTCAGTAGTTGACAACGTAACTGATGACTGCAATGTAGACTTCCAACTAACCACAGAACCACCCAAAGTGAACACATAACCAGTCACAGACCTCCTGGTATCCACATCAGCTGCATAATCAGAATCACTGTACCCAGTGACCAAGCATTCCTTACCATTCCCGTACACAAGACCAATATCAGCTGTCCCTCTCAGGTAGCGAAAAATCCTTTTCACCCCTTGCCAGTGTTCCCTCCCAGGTCGAGCCATAAACCTGCTTACAACACTAACAGCATGCGCAATATCCGGCCTAGTACAGACCATAGCATACATCAAACAACCAACCGCGTTTGCATATGGAACTCTAGACATATAAGACAACTCCTCCTCTGATTGAGGTGACATAGACAAAGACAACTTACAACTAACAGTAGTTGGCGTACTTATAGGCTTCGATTTTTCCATCCCAAAACGAGACAGAATCTTTTCAATGTAGCTTTTCTGAGTCAAGAAAAGCTTACCTCTAGCCCGATCCCTGTAGATCTCCATACCCAAAATCTTCCTAGCTGCACCCAAGTCTTTCATGTCAAACTCCGAGTTAAGCATCTCCTTTAATCTTTTGTACCACTGTCGGGGGGATTGCTTAAGTCCATACAATGACTTTAGCAATCTGCAAGCATAGTGTTCCTTTCCAGGAGCTTCGAATCCTTCGGGCTGCTTCATCAGAATCTCCTCCTCCAAATCGCCATGAAGGAAGGCCGTTTTAACATCCAACTGCTCCAGCTCAAGATCAAAATGTGCTACAATTGACAATAACACACGGATAGAAGTATGTCGAACCACAGGTGAGAATATCTCAACAAAGTCAACCCCTTCTACCTGACTGAACCCCTTAGCAACTAGCCTAGCCTTAAAACGTATTTGCTCAGTTTCCGACAACCCTTCTTTCTTCTTGTAAATCCATTTACAACCCACAAGCTTCCTCCCTTCCGGTACCTTTACCGGTTCCCACACTCTGTTCTTGTAAAGAGACTGCATCTCTTCACCCATTGCGGCAAGCCATTGCGCAGACTCACTACAACTAATTGCTTGTTTATATGTGGCAGGTTCAAATGACTCTACATCATCAGCTACACTCAATGCATAACCTGTCATCGCATCAACACAGCAATTTCTTCCCTCCATCTCTTCAATCAATCTAACAGGCTTCTTGATAACTCGTTTAGGCATCTCAAGAATGGTGTCAGGTTGACTAGATGACCCCTGATTAGATTGCTCCACCTCATCCCCAGAGTTAGAATGAGTAGGAGTAATCTCAGGTTCAGGAGTACCCGGCACTGGAACATCAGCATCATCATCAATATATTGTACCCGAGGTAAATCAGCAATGGTAGACTGATGTACCTCAAGTACCCCATCTGTCTGTAATAAATTGTCTCCTTCCCTTCTCAAATCTGAAATCTCTGCATTTTTAATTGAATACATGGTGTTTTCATCGAAAGTAACATCCCTACTAAGAATGACCCGACCCTCCGAAGGTGAAAAAATTCTAAACCCCTTCACACCATCCCCGTACCCAACAAAACACCCCTTCTTGGCTCGTGGATCCAGCTTACCCTCAATAACATGATAATAAGCAACACAACCAAAAATCTTCAAATTCGAAAAATTAGGCAACTTACCACTCCAGATCTCAAACGGAATTTTGGAATCAATTCCAGAATGAGGACCCCTATTAATGACATAACAAGCTGTTAACACAGCTTCACTCCAGTACCTCCTCCCAAGCCCTGCATTAGAGAGCATGCATCGAACTCTCTCTAGCAGTGTCTGATTAACCCGTTCTGCTACACCGTTCTGCTGTGGTGTCTTCCTGACAGTATGATGCCGACCTATACCCTCATCTGCACAGAACTGATTAAACTCGTCTTTGCAAAACTCTAGCCCATTGTCCGTTCGTAGCTTCTTGATCTTCCTTCCTTGTCGATTTTCCACCAAAGCTTTCCATTGCTTGAAAACTTTGAAGGCCTCATCCTTTGACTTAAGCAACCTAAGCCATGTGTATCGGGACTTGTCATCAACAAATGACACAAAATAGTGGTAACCTCCCATACCTTCAACTCTAGATGGACCCCAGCAATCTGAATGGATGTAATCGAGCACTGCATCAGTAATGTGAGCACCCTTGCTGAACTTTGACCTGTGTTTCTTACCAAACACACAATGCTCACAAAATTCAAGGTTGGCAACCTTGACCCCGGATAGAAGACCCCTCTTGGACAATAGCTGCATCCCCTTCTCCCCCATATGACCAAGCCTCATGTGCCAAATCTTAGTCATCTCCTGGTGAGATACAGATGCGCAAACCGCAGAACTAGGCAGTGTAACACCCTCAAAAACATAGAGGGTGTTCCTTTTGATACCCTTAAGTACCAACTCAGAACCTCTGAAAATACACAACTCCCCATCTGAAAACACACCATTGTACCCCAAGTCATCCAGGGTACCCAATGAAATCAGATTCTTTCCTAAAGCAGGAACATGCCGTACATTAGTCAAAGTTAACCTCCGCCCATCAACAGTCCTCAACCTCATGGAACCAATACCTGTGACCTTACATGGAGCATTGTTACCGACTATAACCATACCCCCATTGCGAGGTTCATATGTATCAAACCAATCTCGACGTGGACACATATGGAACGAACACCCCGAATCTAGAACCCAGTTATCAGATAAATCATCAGACCTAGCAGAACTGACTAATGCTAAATCTTCCTCTGAATTATAGCTCTCATTCGGTTTCTCTTCAACTACAGCAGCCTGGGACTTGTTTTTCCTCACCGGACAATTATTCCTAAAGTGACCCGGTTCTTTACAGTAATAACATGTTTTAGTAGTAGTTTTACTAGATCCATCCTTGCCGTTTCCAGCACCCGACCCAGCATTGTTCCCCTTGTTAAACCCCTTATTCTTTTTAGACTTTCCGGACTTAACAAATAACCCACTACCATTATCCCCATTATCACTCGTAGCTTTCATTCTGAGTTCCCTAGTATGAAGTGCTGCCTTCACTTCTTCTAAGGTTATAGAATCCTTACCAACAACAAAAGACTCTACAAAATTCTCAAAGCTAGACGGTAGAGATACAAGTAAAATCAACGCAGCATCCTCATCATCAATTTTAACATCTAAATTACGTAAATCAAGCAAAATAGAGTTAAGTTTTTCTAGATGTTCCCGTAAGGAAGTACCTGACTGCATCCGGAGGCTAAACAACCGCTGTTTCAGTAATAATTTGTTGGTCAACGACTTAGTCATATACAATGACTCCAGCTTCAGCCACAATCCAGCCGCCGTTTCCTGATCAGCAACCTCCGTGATGATTTGATCATCAAGACTAAGTAATATGGTAGAGTGTGCCTTCTCTTCCATAACTTCTAACTGCGAGTCAGTCGGTCCGTCTCCTGACTCCGAAGTAGTACTCTTTGGAGCCAACGGACGCCATATCTGCTGTTGTTTTAACAGAGCCTTCATCTTAATTTGCCATAGCCCGAAACTATTTTTCCCGGTAAACTTCTCAATTCTTATTGTTGAATCTCCTGCCATTGTTATCTTCAAGAAACTCTCCAAGGATTGAACCTGAGCTCTTGATACCAATTGTTGTGCGACAGCGGAAGCAAAGGTCGAAAACAAACAAGAAAACAATAAAGAAATTCAATGCAAACAATAAGAACAACACCAAGAATTTACGTGGTTCACTATCGATGTGATAGCTACGTCCACGGGCACCGAGATCGAATGATTTCACTATAAACTGCAAAGATTACAAAGATGATTCTTGTATTTCTCAAGAACGGCTCTTACTCTGTCTCTCTTAACCCTAATACTGATATTAGGGAGGTTTTATATTAATCCCTAAAATAAAAGATACTTGGGCAAAAAGATAACATAAAAGATAACTTTAAATCGTAAAATCCGCGTCTCCGCATTTTTCCTTCTCCGCCCGGTCAGACCGGGCAAGGTCTGCCCGATCGGGCGCGAGAAGAAAACTCCATACGAATGCTTCAACGTATCCAACCCCCACCGCCCGGTCAGACCGGGCAAGGTCTGCCCGATCGGGCGAAGGCTCGCCCGGTCGGGCGAAGGCTCGCCCGGTCGGGCGCGAGAGCAGCTTCTTCAACGAATTTGCCAGGCACCTCTTCTTCTTCCGCCCGGTCAGACCGGGCAATGTCCGCCCGATCGGGCGGACAAAGCTACGAAGTACGAGTCACCTAATATACTTATCAACAGAGGTGGAGTAATATAATACATAGCAGTAAATTTGACAAAAAGACGAAGTGTTTAATTTTTTCCCCTTTCGGATTTTATGATTTTAAATAATAATAATAAAAGATAAAAATAGAAAAGGAAATTTTGTGAAAAACTATCTTTTATAATCCAGAATTTGCGAGAAACTACTTATTAAAAAAAAGTTGTAATTGACTACCTAATTTTTTAAAAATGTTGTAATTTACTACCTTTACGCCGGATTATGAAGGAGTTTGACCACAATTCTCCGGCGTTGACTTGGTCACGTGACACTTCGTGAAAGAAAAGGGTCATTAAGTGTCACGTGATGGTCACGTGACCAAGTCAACACCGGAGAACTTTGATCAAACTCCTTCATAATCCGGCTTAAGGTAGTAAGTTACAACATTTTTCGAAAATTAAGTAGTCAATTACAACATTTTTTTAATAGGTAGTTTCTCGCAAGTTCTGAACTATAATAGGTAGTTTTTCACAAAATTTCCAATAAAAAAATATCATTGGTTAACTAGAGGTGTCCAACTTTTTTAACTAAGGGTCTAACTTTTTGAAAGAGAATTAATTAATTTGGTCGGAAAAAAAATGTTAGACCCCAAAAACTAAATAAAAATAAGTTAGACCCCAAATACAATTTTTTCAAAAGTTGGACCCATTTATGATCTTAAATCAAATAAATTTAGTTGTGTAAAAATTAAGGATATTTTGTGAAAAACTACCTTTTAAATTTTGAATTTTGCGAAAAACTATCTTGAAAACAAAATGTTGTAATTAACCACCTTATAAAGTATAAAATGTTGTAATGAACTACCTTATAAAGTATAAAATGTTGTAATTGACTACCTCCCACCGGAATAATACATTTGATTTTTATTTTCCGGTGTTGACCATGTCATGTGAGGGTCACATGACCCTTTAATGACTTAATTCCCTTCTTTCTCCCAAATTTTTTGCTTTATACCAACTCTTTTCCTTAACAATACGATTATTCATATTTTATATTGTTTATTTGCAACCCCTTCGATAATTATATGGTCCGAATTGGTGTAAAGCGGGAAAATTTGGGGAAAAGAGGGGAATTAAGTCATTAAAGGGTCACGTGACCCTCACTTGACATGGTCAATGTCGGGAAATAAATGTCAAATGTGTCATTCCGGTAGAAGGTAGTCAATTACAACGTTTTAAGTTTTATAAGGTAGTTAATTACAACATTTTGTTTTTAAGGTAGTTTTTCGCAAAATCTGGAGTTTAAAAGGTAGTTTTTCACAAAAAATCCTAAAATTAATTAATAACTTTAAAGAATAATCATAATATAAAATCAGTAAAAATAATTTTAGTTCAAATAAATTCAGTAACTTTAAACAAGAATCATAATGGAGACTTAGAAAAATAATTTTAGTTCATTAAAAATAATTTAAGATTAGTAATTATAATTTCAATTTACAAAAAATAGAATGAAGCGAACCAGACCTTAGTATAACTCAATAATTATTAAAGATATAATAATGATTGAATTTAAATTATGTGGTGGTAAACGTGATATAATGGAAGAAAAAAGAACATAGGAACAACACCAGAATAAGCTAACCCCTCCTTAGATCTTGATATGATTATATATCATGATGTAACATGTTACAAAAAAAACATTTTATTAGTATATATGATACACTACTACCTATTTCGAGGCTTACTACTTTTTTGATAGCAACCTAATTTAATATGGACACTGGTTACATTTATGTTTTCAATCATTACTGTAGGCAATTGAAGTGGTTGCGGATGTGAATTCCTGGGCTGAGAAGCATACTAGTGGCCTTATTAAAGAGTTGTTGTCTCCTGATTCCGTTGATAACCAAACTAGACTTATCTTGGCAAACGCAATTTACTTTAAGGGTTCATGGTATAAGAAATTTGATGAATTTCTAACAAAGGAAGATGACTTTTACATGCTTAATGGTAGCTCAGTTAAGGTGCCTTTTATGACCACCAAAAAGAAGCAATACATCAGAGCTTTCAACGGATTTAAAGTCCTAGGCCTACCTTATAAACAAGGAGAAGATGAACGTCGATTTTCCATGTATTTCTTCCTTCCAGATGCGAAAGATGGGCTTCTAGCCTTGGTACATAAACTAAGCTCTCAACCAGGTTTCCTAAATGAACACCTTCCATTCGGAAAAGTTGTTGTGGGTGACTTTAAGCTTCCTAAGTTCAAGATTTCGTTTGGATTTGAAGCTTCTGATATTCTCAAGGGCTTAGGACTAGAACTTCCCTTTATGGAGGGTGGCCTCACCGAATTGACAGACTCACCTCAAGGTAAAAAATTATATGTTTCTAGCATTAACCAGAAATCTTTTATTGAAATCAATGAGGAAGGTACCGAAGCAGCTGCTGCTACTGCTGGTAAAATGAGATTAATGTGTTTAAAAAGATATAAAACATTGGACTTTGTGGCTGATCATCCATTCATGTTTCTTATCAAAGAAAATGTGACTGGAGCTGTGCTATTCTCTGGACATGTTGTGAATCCTCTTGAGAGTTGAAAAGTTTGAGTTTGAGTCGTTTAAGTTTGAGTTTGTGTCTGAGTCATTTCAGTTTGTGTTTGAGTGTGAAACAATAATAATCCCAAACATTTATAAACTTGTCTATTCCACAAAACATTTCATGCTTTGTTTTGATTAGTATATTTGGCAGCATTAATTTAAGGATTTTTTTTTTTGTGAAAACTACCTTTTAAACTCCAGGTTTTGCGAAAAACTACCCTAAAAACAAAATGTTGTAATAATTAACTACCTTATAAAATATAAAACGTTGTAATTGACTACCTTCTACCGGAATGACATATTTGACTTTTATTTCCCGACGTTGATCATGTCACGTACGTGAGGGTCACGTGACCCTTTAATGACTTAATTCCCCTCTTTTACTGTCTTACACCAATTCAACCCATATAATTATCAAAGGGGTTGCAAATAAACAATATAAAATATGAATAATCGTATTGTTAAGGAAAAGAGTTGGTATAAAGCGGGAAAATTTGGGAGAAAGGAGGGGATTAAGTCATTAAAGGGTCATGTGACCCTCACATGACATGGTCAACACCGGAAAATAAAAATCAAATGTGTTATTCCGGTGGGAGGTAGTCAATTATAACATTTTATACTTTATAAGGTAGTTATTAATTACAACATTTTATACTTTATAAGGTTATTAATTACAACATTTTGTTTTTAGGGTAGTTTTCCGCTAAATTCAAAATTTAAAAGGTAATTTTTCACAAAATATCCTTAATTTAATTATATATTTATTTCTTTCGCTCCCAGACAATTACGTAACAATATTTGTATTGTGCGTACATGACCATTATCAATATATCAATACCTAACTGACTCATTTATAAACCATTGTTTGTAATTGCTGTCTTTCTAAGTGCTATATTTTAAGGCTATTTTGATGCCTTACATTGTCTCACAGTTAGAGCTTCCCCATCTCAACTGAATGATTGCGTCTACATCTATCACACATATATAAAATCTATACATGTACCCGTTCCAATATATATATATATATATTATGGATATGTATTATTATGTTTTCTGCATCGATTTTATATGGGAAAACCATGGCGATTGTAAAATGATACGACTTCCTTAATTAATTCACAAACAGACTTGCATATTGTAGCGAATGTACAATCACTACGAAATAAGCGCTACGAAAAGACATTTTTCTGGTAGTGGTTTTTATTTTTAGTTATTGAACAACAGTGTTAATATTATTATAAATAAGGGTCTGTTCACTTCAACTTAATTCAGTTCAGTTCAGCTCTAATCAGTTCCGAGCCGATCTCAAACTCGAGTCGAGCCTCGTCGAACAGAGCTTTGACCGAACCAAGCTCAAATAGTTCACGAATAGCTCAGTCTCATTATCATATATTTATATGTTATATCCCTTAATTTCTCATTCCCAAGCGTTTTTCATCTTCCCCATCTTTAATTTGACAATAAGCATTTTGGGTCATTAAGGTGTTGGTGGCTGAAATTGGCGGCTGGGTACAATAATGTGGGTTACTTAATTTCCCACCAACACCAACATACACAATTTCATCTTCTTTTTAATTAATTGTTGCTAGTTTTGTGGGTTGAATCGCTAGAACTAATGTCGGTGTGTTTTGTTGCCACGCTATTCGCTTCAATGGCAGTTGGTGAGACGTAAGGAGGTAGAGAGGGGAGTGTGCTGGAGTGGTGCTGCCGTGATGGCATGCGAAAGTGCAATGAGAAATTGCGAAGGAGTGAGGGTTTGTGTTGGCCCGGTTGTGGGGATGCGTGAGGGTGGTTTTTGGGATGTTTTGTGGCAGTTAGGGGTGTAGTTGTGGTGGGTCGAAATGAAGCGGTGGTGGGGCAGTAGTGTAGGAGGTGGCATTGCTGGTAGGGCATGGAGAAAATGGTTTTAAAAGGTAACGTGATCGGCACATGGGTAACGCCAGAGAAATTAACGTCGGAGAAATTAGTTAATGGTGAAAATCCGATTAAGGATAGTGTTTTTTCACATTTTTGTTTTAATAGGTAGTACAACATTTTTTTTATTAGGTAGTTTCTTACAAAAATGGCTTTTAATAGGTAGTTTTTGACAAAAAACCCTATAAAATATACTTCCTCCGTTCTTTTATTATTGCATCACTTGTCTTTTTAGGAAGTTTCATAAATATTGCATCATTTCCTCTTTAGGAAAAAAATTATTTGTGTACACACTACAAATACCCAACATACTCTTACTTTTTCACACTTAGGGCCTGTTCATATTTACTTATTTTCAGTCCAGTTCAGTTCAGTTCAGTTCAGTTTCAATCAGTTCAGCTCTTAATTTCCCTCTCTCATAAAATATTCATTTCAGCTTAGTTCAGTTCAGTTCAGTTCCAATCAGTTCAGTTCAGTAAATATGAACAGGCCCTTACTTTTTAGTTTATCAATATGTCACATGGACAATTTTGTATTTTTACTTTTTTCTCTCTTACTTTTTTCCACTACCAAAATATTTGTACTCAACCCCTATGGTGCAATAATAAAAAAACGGAGGAAGTATGAAAGATGTATTAAATTATTTTGAACCGAAAATATCCGACCTGAATAGACCCGACCCAAACTCCATCCGATTATCCGAATTGACACCTCTAATTATCTCCTGATTCTGTTGATAATGAAACTAGACTTAACTTGACAAACACAATTTACTTCAAGGGTGCATAGTATGAGAAATTTGATGCATTACTAACAAAGGAAGGTGACTTTTACCTTCTTAATGGTAGCTTAGTTAAGGTGCCTTTTATGACCACCAAAAACAAGCAATGCATCAAAGCTTTTGAAGGATTTCAAAGTCCTAGACCTAGCAACCTGATAAACAAGGAGAAGACAAGCGCCAATTTTCCATGTATTTCTTTCTTCCTGATGTGAAAGATGGGCTTCCAGCCTTGGTACATAGAGTAAGCTCTCAACCTGCAATCGTAAATGAACATACATCTTCTATTCAGAAAAGTTAAAGTGGGTAATTTTAAGCTTCCTAAGTTCAAGACTTCGTTTGGATTTGAAGCTTCTGAGATTCTCAAGGGCTTAGGACTAGAACTTCCCTTTAGGGCGGGTGGCTTCACTGAATTGACAGACTCACCCCAAGCTTAAAAATTATACGTTTGAAGCATTAAACAAAAATCTTTTATTTAAATCAATGAGGAAGGTACTGAATTGTTGCTGCTACTTTTGCTAAATGAAAATATTTGTGCTTAAGAACATATGAAACATTGGACTTCGTGGCTAATCATCCATTCATGTTTTTTATACGAGAAAACTGTGCTATTCACTGGACATGTGGTGAATCCTCTTGAAAGTTGAAATTTTCGAGTTTAATTTGAGTGTGAATCAATCCCATACATTGATAACTCATCTATGCCATAAGCGTATAGTTAGCAATGACATTTAGGGCGTGTTCGGCGCTAGCTTTTGAGTAGCCTTTAGGTAGCTTTTAGTGGTTTGATTAAGTCAAACCACTACTCAACAAAAAATGTGAGTGTTTGGCAAAGTAATGGTTCAAGTAGCTTTTAATGGTGGCTTTTAGTGGTGGAGTTACCTTTTATTAAAAGCTAGGATTATTAGCTTTTGAAATTAGAGGTAGCTTTTGAAGTAGATTTTGAAAATTTAATGTATAATTTTAAAAATAAAATAATGATTCTTAAATGTAACAGCTAGTCAACCACTACTTTACCGAACAATCATACCTAAATTATCTTTTTTTTCACAGCTAGCAGCTTGTTGACAGCTAACAACTATTTTCACAGCTCACAATTATCTCCACATTTACAATTACCTTCACAACTATATTTTGCTGAACATGCCCTTAATTATGTATTTATGTCAATCCCAGACAATTACATAGCTAGCTATATATGTATTGAGCGTGCATATATGACCATTATCTATACTGCACAACTGACGACTCATATATAAATGATTGTTTTTTTTTTTTTTTCCAAAACCGATTGTCTGTATGTTTGTAATTGCTCTTAATGCTTCTTCACCAATAGTCCTTTTTTAAAAATCTAAAAATTAAAAATTTACCTAGTCTTTCTAAGTATATCTTAAGGGATGTACGAGTTTTATCCATACCTTACATTATGAAATGGAGTATATAAGTGGGTTAAGTGATCAAGAGAGCAAAAGGTATTTAATTTGCTTAAATAGAATAGAAAATTTTGTCTAAACGAGACATATATGTTCATTATTTTGTCTAGACGGAACTTATATGTATAAAGTGATCTAAAAGGACCTTATAAGTTTATTTTGTTTTTTTTTTGGGGGGGGGGCCTTGAGGTTAGAATCCTGCAATAATTGACTTTTTTCTTCGACGTTGACCTCTCAACAACCTTAACAATGACCCGCTTTTTTTTTTCCTACGATTTTCCTCCAATTCCTCATTCTCTCTTCTAATTTCCAAATACCACAAATCAAAATACAGGAATTTGAGAAAAATCATTGAAAACAAAGAAAAGAAGGTCATTTTTTAAGGTCACACGAGGGGTCAAGGTCGAAGAAAAAAAATCAATTATTGTCGGATTTCGACTTCAAGGTCCCCCCAATCAACAAATAAAATAAACTTATAAGATCATTTTAGATCACTTTAAACATATAAGGTACTTCCAGACAAAATAGTGAACATATATGTCCCTTACAATTTTCCAATAGAATAATGTAGAACTAGATTGAACAAAATAAATAACAGTTTTAGTTTTTTTTTTTCTTTTTTGAAAGGGAATAAATAATAGTTGTACAAGCGTAGAAGGAACAAAATTGGAGGTAATACAAGTATATAAAAATTTTATTGGGCATTATCATATCATTAAAGTTGGGATCTAACTCTCAATCCTTTATAACAAGCATGACACCAAAATCTTGGGCGAATTACATATCATACGCACAATAGTACACATAAATGAACCACTAAAAAAAAAAAAAACAAAAGCGCAAATGTCACAAATAATACTCATTTATTGAAAATTATAAGTAAATTAGGTAGTTATTATATGGTCAAGGAAATATATTTTGTATGGGGTTGATTAAGTTTAAAATTTTAACATGAGAGAGGATTAATTATGTGTCCAGTAAATAACACAGCTCCCGTTATGCCTTCTCTTATAAGAAACATGAATGGATGATAAGCCACAAAATCTACTACCTTAGGAATCATCAAACATTGCACACTAGCTTGAATAGCAGTAGCAGCAGCAGCCTCAGTACCTTCCTCATTGATTTCAATAAAGGATTTCTGGATAATGCTTGAAACATACAGATATTTAGCTTCATATGAGTCTATTACTTTCATGAGTCCGCCTCCCATAAAGGGCAACTCAACTCCTAAGTTTTTTAGAACCTCAGAAGCTTCAAATCCAAACGAAATCTTAAATTTAGGGAGCCTGAAATCATCAACTAATACTTTTTCGCAATGTACAAGGTTATTATTCACAAAACCATCTCGAGAGCATACTTTTTGTACCAAGTTTGAAAGCCCGTCTTTTACATTTGGAAGAAAGATATACATAGAAAATTGGCGCTTGTCTTCTCCTTGCTTGTAAGGTAAACGAAGGACTTTGAAGTCATCAAAAGTTTTGATGTATTGCTCTTTGTAGCTAGTCATAAAGGGAACTTTAACTGAGTCACCATTTAAAAGAAAGAAATCACCTTCCATTGTTCTTGATGCATCAAACTTCTCATTTGTGGCAATTCGTAACGGAGGAAGTATATGATTAATGGCGGCCCTGTATTTGTGGTGCATTAAAATATAGTGGCCCTCCCATTTTAATACAAATTGACCCCATTTGACCTTAATGAAATGGTAGCCTCCCCCTTTAAACTATGGTTAAATTAAGAAAAAATATATTATTGCTGGTCTTTATACCACATGTCTACTTACATAATATTTTATTATAATTAATTATATATATCTAAAGGTGTTTAATGTTAGATGTTGTGCAATATTTAAACGTGTTGGATGTTGTGTAGCGTGCAATATTTAAAACTTTAGTATAATTACTTAAATTAAGCAAGGGAACGGTAAAAAACTATCGAGTTCTAGAAATATATACTAAATATGTTAAATAAACTTTAAGTACTTATTAATGAGACAAATTGATAAATTAAATAAGACATCACACAATTATATACTCTTTAATTATTGTATTCCATATATATTAAAATTGATTTTGAATATTTTGTATCAATACATCAAATTTTTATATGTAATCGGTCACAACGAGTGACAGGCATTATACGGGGGTTAATTTGTTAGTGTTATAGGAGTACTTTGTCATTATTATAGGGGTTACTCGGCTACTGTTAGAGGTTAATTAGCTTGGTAGATATTACAAGGGTTCTTTACTTGGTAGATATTACAAGGGTGACCTGGTAATAATTACTTGGTAGATGACTAAAAGATGACTTTTAATATTGAAATAAACACAACTTTCTTTACAAATAATTAATTAATTTAGGGCATTCAAGAGACATCGTTAAAGCTTTTAAAGTTAAATGAGGGCAAATATGTAAAAGAATATGTTTAGGTTTATAATTATCCATGCACTATTTATAAGAATTTTATTAAATATTTAATAAGGTTAATTTTTAAGCCGGGCAGCTTGCTTGAACAAGTCCTTCGGGGTAAACATTACCCAAATTCGAATTTTATGGATTCTCAATTGGGTACTTCCCCTAGTTACACATGGAGGGGTATTTGGGAGTCAAAGTGGGTATTGCGTAGAGGTATCTGTTGGAGAGTGGGGAATGGCGCAAACATTGGTGTGTGGGATGATTCTTGGATCCCTGGCACACAAAGCCGCAGGTTGCTATCCCCTAGGGGTATTAATGATGCGCAGATGAAGGTGAATGAGCTTATAAATTCTGAAACGTGTAGTTGGAATGTGGAGCTCCTTTCCCAACTGTTCTTACCGTTTGAGAAGGACAGAATTTTAAGCATACCATTGAGCAGTAGATTGCCTTCAGATTGCATTTATTGGGACCTTTAAAAAGACGGGGTGTACTCGTTTCGGTCTGCTTACAGAGCCTTGATTAATGATGAGTGGTTGAAGGAGGAGGAAGCACCCTCTATGGTGAATAATTTTTGGGGCAAAATCTTGAGCCTTCATGTACTCCCAAGAGTAAAGATCTTCGCTTGGAGGGCTTGTCAGAATGCTATCCCGACTCTTAGAGGCATTAATAGTCGAATTCAGACCTTTGACGCGACTTGCTGCATCTGTGGGAGGGAGAATGAAACCACGATTCATGCTTTGCGGGAGTGCAACCTTGCTAGAGAAATTTGGTTGTGCAGCACTTTCTCCAAAGTGTTGGAAGGCAGTTTTGCTTCATTGATTGATTGGTGGGAATGGTGCATAAAAGAGTTTGAGGAGCATGAGGTGGAGGAGATAATTACCTTGAGCTGGGCAATATGGAATGCTAGAAATAAAGCGGTGTTGCTGGGTGAAAAATTGGAACCGAGTAGTGTTCTGAGTTATGCTAGGAAGGTATGCGAGGAGTTGCGTGGAGTTGAGATGAAGAAGGGTGGAGGGAGGGCTGATGGAAGGACTGATGCTGCAGGTTGGAAGCCTCCTGATACAGGGCTTGCAAAAGTGAATGTTGATGCTGGCTTGTTGGGCGAAGTGGGATCGGGGATTGGGGTGGTCTGCATAGATGACAGGGGAGAGATTACTTGCTGTGCTGCTGTTCAGTTTGCTGAAATTTGGGATACAAAAATTGCTGAAGCTAAGGCTGTTTTTTGGGGAATGAAGGTGGCGCTTGAAACTGGGTTAAGCGATATTGTGATTGAAAGTGATTGTCTGCAGGTAGTTGATGCTCTGCGCAACAAAATTCAAGGAACCAGCCATTTTCACCTAATTTTAGATGATATTGTAGCTCTTGCTTTTAACTTTTCTAGTGTAGTTTGGTCTTTTGTTAAACATGGTGGCAATAAGGTAGCGCACGAGTTGGCTCACTATCAACCTTGGGATGTGGGTAAACGAGTGTGGCGTAATGTAATCCCACCACGAATTTCTGCTGTTGCTGCTAATGATATTCTAGTCTAAGCCCTCTCTGGGTTTTTCAAAACAAACAAAAAAAAAAAAAAAAAAGAAAAAAGAAAAAGGTACAAATTAAAATCTTGCCAAAAGAAAATCACAATCTTAATATATAAAATAATAACATCAATCACCATATTTGCATTATTGGAAAAAATAATAATAATAAATTGGAAAATAATATCATGTAGAGGGGTATTAACCTTTATGTTGATGCCTATGACTAATAATTCATGAAAGTACTCTTCTCCATAAATAAAATTTAGGGAAATTCTCAATGGTAATCATCAGTTTTTTATTTTTCTCAATGGTAAACAACCAAAATTCCAATTATCTTTGGTAATCATGAATTTTTATTATATATTAATCATATCACTAAAGATATACTATGGTTAAAATCTTTAACTAGGGTTAGTTTTTTTTATAATTTTTTAACATTTAGATTATTTTAAAGATATTTTTTTTAGAAAAAAAAAAACACCACCCATTTTTCCCCAACCCAGCAAGCCAACCTCCTTCCTCCGATCCACCCATGCCCAGCCCTACGCGCCGCCGACTGCACCTAGAAACCCAAGCGTCGGCACCTCATCTGCTCTCCCCTCGTCGCATCACCCTCTTCCTCTTTAACCACCAATCCGCCCTCCCTACCCCCACGAAACCCTCCAAAAACCATCTCCAATCCTCAAAATACCCTAACTGGAACCCTAGTGACGGTGAGGGAGGTCCATTTAGGGTTTTTTAAGGTTGGGGTGATGGTTTTAGGGGGATTTGTGGGGGGAGGAAGGGGGTTTCTTGGAAGGAATTAGGTAAATTGGGGGAAGGGATACGCGTCAGGGAGGGGGCTTCAGTGCGGCGCCGATGCAATGGTGGAGGGGTTTGGGGGCGCCGGCGGCCAGGGGGTGGTTAGGGAGCACGTGGAGGAATGGTGCGTGGGTGGAGGGATGGTGCGTGGGGTGGCTGCTTAGCATTGCTAGTGGGGATGAGTGGTGGTTTTTTTTTTTTTAAAAAATAATTTAATTATTAAAATAATAAAACTAACCCTAGTTAAAGAATTTTATCAAAATATAACATTAATGTCATAGTTAATATGTATTAATATATTATGATTACCAAAGATAATTGGAATTTTGGTTGTTTACCATTGAGAAAAATAAAAAAAACTGATGATTACCATTGAGAATTTCCCTAAAATTTATTAAAAGTTATGCATTTAAAAAATATCATAAAAGATCATACTGGACCTAACAAAATTAGATACCAAATCATTGAGAGGGCTTCAAGTATTAAAGGAAATTTTGAAAAAACCACCTTATATAAGTAAATTTTTTTGCAAGAAACAACTTTATAATTATTTTTTCACAATGATACACCTTAGCTTAATCAATTTTTTTGCAATCACAAACCTTTGGCAGGAATACCTGTTTTGCCGACGTTGACCGGACCACGTACATGCCTTGCACATGACCTCTTAAAATCAATCTCCGACTACGCCACCCACCAAAACGGCATCGAAACTATATTTTTTTCGTTTCGGACCACGTGCATGCCTTGCACGTGACCTCTTAAAATCAATCTCCAACTACGCCACCCACCAAAACGGCACCGAAACTATATTTTTTTCGTTTCGAATATAGCATGTCCTTTTTCTTTTTTACTATAAGAAATCCAAAACTGCCTTACCCACCCCACCACCACTAGGACATTCATCTCTTACCCACCCCACCATTACCACAAAAAACCCACACATACGCTATCCCAGTCTCGTAAACCATCATCGTCAATCGACCTCAACTACCTTAGAAAGAAGGGGGAGGTGGTGGCAAGGAAAAGGCAGCGACAGAGGTGGTGGCAAGAGAAGGTAGCGGCGGTGTCAAATAAAAGGGGGTGGTGGCTGAAAATTTGGGTAAATTTAGAGAGAGAGAGAAAGATCGAGTTTGTGTGCGTGGCCTGGTTTCAGTGGTGGTGGGTGGGTAAGCCAGCTTCGATGGGGTGGGTAAGGTGATTTCAGTGGCTATGTGGTGGCGTATTAGGAGAGTGGTTTTAAGAGGTCACATACCTCGCACGTGATTGGGCCAACGCCGCGAAATAGGGTCAAACGCTCTTTACAGGCCAAAGGTGGGTGTGTCATTACAAAAAAAAAATTAATTAAGGTGTGTCATTGTAAAAAATAAAATGATGAAGGTATGTCATTGCAAAAATAAATAAATAAATAAATAAATAAAATTATAAGGTAGCTTATTGCAAAATATTTGTTATAAAAAGGTGATTTTTTTTTTTTTGTAAAATTTCTAATTTTAAAATTTATCTAAGTTGTCAAATTTAAATTTTGTCTGAAAGATTGTAAAGAAGACACTATAGTTGAGAAAAAAAAATGGCGCAAATTAAAATATCGGAGGTGTAGGCTTGTAGCATGTTTAAAATTGGATTGAGATTTTAATTCATATCGCGTGCATATAAGACTAGTCTAGCTAATTTTAGAAAAAGACAAAGATTAAGACAATTCAATTAAAAACTTTAGAATAGAAAAAGAAAGAAAGACATACATTGTTGACAAAGTCAACTGGATTAGATTCAGCTTTGTAAAGATGATCAATGACATGTTTAAAATTTGGCAAAAGAGGAAGCGTTTGATCCACCCAAACTCCATTAGCATAGTTCAGCTTCGGCCCACCGACGGCACTTCCGTCGGCGAAGACGTGTGCTACAACCTCCGAACATAGTTTGTTGAGATTATTGGAGGAAAGAGATTTGAGAAAAGAGAGAAGTTGATCAAGAGCTAAGCCGGACGCTCCGGCAGTGATCAAGCTCTGCACAACATGAAGTGATAGAGGTGAGATGACCAAGTTGGTTTTCTTAGCCTCGTCTGATGACAACACGCTTTCGGTGATTGTCAATGAGACGTCCGTTTGGTTGGTGATTGATTGTTGAAGATCCATCACTTTTGGTTTAGACAAATAAACAAGCTAAGATTGTACAATATATGCTAATAATGCCGCCCAAAGTATAACTAATATATATATATATATATATATATATATATATATATATATATATATATATATATATATATATATATATATATATATATATATATATATTTGACAGTGTATAATATAATTTTATTTCATAATACATTGGATTGTTGGTCTCGCGATATACTCATGCTACCTACGTTTTTTAGTTGACATATTTCTTTTTCTTTTATTACACTGTCAATGTACTCCCTCCGTTCCTTTTTTTACATTTCTGCTTTTTTTTTTTTGTTATTTCAAAATTACATTCCTCCTTTCCTTTTTTAGTAAGTAATTTTCTTTCCAAATATCCCAAATTATCCCTATTTTTCTATTTTGTAATTAATGCTCACTCTTATTTTTCTATTCTCACTTTTATTTTCCCCCTAAAAAAAATTTGAGAATCCTTGTGCCTAAATTTAGATGAATATGATTGGTTCTTAATTTTCCAATAGGAGCATGATATTGGTCTCTTTTTTTTTTTTTTTTTTTTTTTTTTCTTGCAAAAGATTATGACATGGCATCATTAAATATTAATTTATCTTTATTTTACTCAAAGACATCATTTAATGTGTTTGTACTTCCCCTTGTGTTTTGCATCATTGTTATTTGTTTTATTCTTAATTTTTTAATTCCCGTGTAATTTTACAAACAGGAATGTAAAAAATGGGATGGAGTGAGTACTATTTTAACGATTAATATTTCTAATTTTCAATATTATAAAATTATGATATTAATAAAATATTTATATATATTGATATGATTTAGAAAAGATACAACTTGACTATGTTAGTGGTAGCTAAAAGTTACAAAAACTAGTCAAAATATAATTTGTAATTATATAGTATGTAGTAATCAGAAATTCAATGGTGTAAACTTAAAAAAACGGAGAAAGTATGAAGAGTTCCTGATAATATATTATTCTTTAAAAAACAGAGTAGAAATTTTCCTAAAGGCAATTTCAATATCGATCGTGAGACCGGCTCTCCTTTGTATTATCAATGAAAACTAGACATTCCTGTCAAAAATAAAACAAAATATAAATACACTTTCAATCCTTTCCCATTATGTTTGCCCATACCAAAATAATTAATGGAACTTCAGCAATCACTCAACAACCAAACCGACGTCTCATTGACAATCACCGGAAGAGTGTTGTCCTCAACCGAGGCGAAGAACACCAACTTGGTTGTCTCACCTCTATCACTTGATGTTGTGCTGAGTTTGATCACTGCTGGTTCGTCCGGGGCAACTCTTGATCAGCTTCTTTCCTTTCTCAAGGCTCATTCCTCCTATGATCTCAACAAACTTTGTTACGATCTTGTCCCGCTTATCTTTGCCGACGGCAGCTCCGATGGTGGTCCCAAGATGAGTTATGCCAATGGAGTTTGGATGGATCAAACAATTCCTCTTAGCCCGATTTTCAAAGATATTGTTCACTATCTTTACAAAGCCGATCATAATCAAGTTGACTTTGTAAACAATGTATGTATGTCTTTCTTTCTTTTTAATCTCAAGTTTTGACTTGGTTTTGTTTTTGCCTTTTTCTACATTAGAAGTTTAATAGAACGTACTATTACTTTTTTTTTTCTTTTTTTTTTTTGATAAAATGCAACTCAAAACGAACACAAACTAATACAAATAGCTAATTATCTGATGTCTTCTAGCTGAGGTAGCCAAAAGCTGAGCTGGAAGAACAACATCTCTAGGAAGCTTCTGAACGATACAGACTTCAAAAGAAGAAAGGATGTCCCGAAGTTGTTGGATCCAAAAAGTAGAAATATCCTCCCATGGTCGAGACAGAATGGAAACCGATAACATACAGCCCGTGCGAAGAATGATCCGAGAAAAACCACGGTGGAGGGCCATCTTGAGGCCAAAAAGACAAGCTTGGAGTTCTGTCTGAAAAGCCGAAAGCGCAAAACAGGCCCGAGCCGCTCCACCTAAACAGGTAGCTGTTTCAAGGGAATAAAAACACCAACCAATTCCTGCTCGACA